CTGCTTTGCAGGCTTTGAAAGGATGGGGACTGGGTTTATCTCGGTCACCACTGCATCCCCACCACCCTATAAAAGGCCTGCCATTAAGGGGCCAATTAATTATTGTGGCTTTGTGGGGGGTTTTGGGGGGTGGGTACAAATTTTGTGCAAAGGTCTGCCCACTTGTTTAAATATACTGGGAGAGGGACGCCTAGGAGGCTTAGCTGGTTAAGTGTCCAACTTTGGCTCAGGTCATGATCTCATGGTTCCTGGGTTTGAGCCCCACATCGGGCTCTGTACTGACAGCTCAGAGCCTGGAGCCTGCTTCGGATTGTGTGTCTCCCTCTCCCTCTGCCCCTGCCCTGCTCATGTTCTGTCTCAAAAATAAGTAAACATTAAAAAAAAATACGCAGGGGGACCCTGCACACCTACAGTTCTGTGTACCTGGGCGGCAGTGGGCAGACAGAGAGGGAATCTGAAGCAGGCTCCAAGCTGTCAGCACAGAGACAGGGCTCAAATTCACCAAGCACAAGATCGTGAGCTGAGCCAAAGTCAGATGCTTAACCAACTGGGCCCCCCAGGGCCCCCATAGTGTTTATTTTTGAGACAGAGACAGAGCATGATCAGAGGAGGGCCAGAGAGAGGGAGACTCAGAATCCAAAGCGAGCCCCAAGCTCTGAGCTGTCAGCACAGAGCACAACGCAAGTCTCGAACCCACGAACCATGAGATCATGACCTGAGTCGCACGCTCAACCACCTGAGCCACCCAGGCACCCAAGAGTGCCATTTTATTTTATTTATTTATTTATTTATTATTTTTTAAATTTCTTATTTATTTCTGAGAGAGAGAGAGAGAGAGAGAGACAGCATGAGCAGGGGAGGGTCAGAGAGAGAGAGAGAAACACAGAATCTGAAGCAAGCTCCAGGCTCTGAGCTAGCTGTCAGCACAGAGTCTGACGCGGGGCTTGAACCCACAAACCGTGAGATCATGACCTGAGCCGAAGTCGGGTGCTTAACTGACCGAGCCACCCAGGTGCCCCAAGAGTGCCATTTTAAACAGGGTGGTCAGGGAGCACCTGGGTGGTTCAGGCGGTTGAGCATGCAAGTCAGGTCATGATCTCATGGTTCGTGGGTTCGAGCCTCACTTCGGGCTCTATGCTGACAGCGTGAAGACTGCTTGGAATTCTCTCTATTTCTCCCTCTCCTGCCCCTCCCACACTTGTGTGCACGTGCTCTCTCTCTCAAAATAAACTTAAAAAAACCACAGGCTGGTCAGAGGAGGCCCCTCTGAGGATATGATAGAGATCTAAAGTTAATTAGCAAGTGAGTCCTGCAAGACAGGGCATTGGAGGCAGAGCGAACAGCCAGGACAAAGGCCTGGAGGCAAGCATGTGAAGAACTTCAAGGCGGAGAGCCGCGTGTCTGGAATGGATGATAAGGTCAGGGAGGGCCTTGGCCCAGTGAAGAGGGCATATGATAGCATTTTCAGGGGCACAACACACTGATTCAATATTTGTGTCTATTTACAAATGATACCTCAGTAAGTCTAATCAACATCTGTCATCACAGATACAAAAGTTTTTATCTTGTGATGAGAGCTACTTTTTTTTTTTAAGATTTATATTTTCAAGTAATTTCAACACCAACGCGGGGCTCAAACTTACAACCCCAAGATCAAGAGTTGCATGCTTTCCTGATTGAGCCAGTCGGGTGTCCCTTATTATTATTGTTTTTTTTTTTTCACTTTCTATGTTTATTTTTTTTGGGGGGGGGAAGGGCAGAAAGAGAGGGAGACACAGGATCCAAAGCAGGCTCCAGGCTCTGAGCTGTCAGCAGAGCCCGATGTGGGGCTCAAACCCACGAACTGTGAGATCATGACCTGTCCCAAAGTCAGACGCTTAACCGACTGAGCCACCTGGGCACCCCTCTTTTCACATGTTCTTTATCCGTTCATCTGCTGATGGTCAGTAAGATTGTTTCTGTTTTGAGTACTGTGAATAATGCTTCCATGAACACGGGAGTGCAGATATATCTTGGAGATACTGGGGCGCCTGGGTGGCTCAGTCAGTTAAGTGTCCGACTTTAGCTCAGGTCTTGGTCTCACGGATTGTGAGTTCGAGCCCCGCGTCAGGCTCTGTGCTGACAGCCTGGAGCTGCTTCAGATTCTGTTTCTCCCTCTCTCTGCCCCTCCCCTGCTCACGTTCTGTCTCTCTCTCTTTCAGAAATAAATAAACATTTAAAAAAATCTTGGAGATACTGATTTTGTTTGCTTTGGATATATACCCAGAAGTAGGATTGCAGGGTCATATGGTATTTCTATTTTTAATTTTTTGAGAAACTTCCATACCGTTTATCATTATAGCGATCCCAATTTGTATTCCCACCAACAGCACAGAAGAGTTCTCTGCTCGGGGAGACTTGAGCAGGGAGAGACCTGGTTTGATCTTTTTTTATTTTTAAAATTTTTTTTTGAATGTTTATTTTTGAGAGAGAAAGAGAACACAAGCAGGGAAGGGGACAGAAGATCTAAAGTGGGCTCTGCGCTAACAGCAGCCAGCCCTATGAGGGGCTTGAACTCCCAAACTGTGAGATCATGACCTGAGCCAAACGCAGAGGGTCAGCCAACTGAGGCACCCAGGCGCCCCTTGTTTGATCTCTGTGTCCCTTGGAATTCTGTCTCCTCGCTCTGCCCCTCCCCCCACATGCTTGCTATCTCTCTAAAAAATAAACTTAAAAAAAAAAAAAAAAAAAGATCCCTCTAAGACCGGTAAGTGAAAGGTTGATGGGAAACTTCCTAGCGGAGAGATGGGGACCTGGTCGCAGTACAGGCATAACCCACAGTGCAGCCGTGGGTTACTGCGACATGATGTACCAGGAAGGGACCAAGCATCTCTAATGGGGAGCCCTTGTCAGAATGAGCCCAAATGTGGTCGAATTCCCATTTAACAGGGAATTCCTGAAACGGAATGACATCTCGGTGGCACCACAAATTCAGGATGTGAAAACTTGCACACAGCAAGTGACCTAAGTCTCTTTTTCTTTAAAAAGCAAGCAGCTGTACACAAGTTGATGAATGGCTACAGATCTCAGAGACTGGTGAGGTTCAAATGGGATCCTTGTCTGAACAAACCAAACTGCAAAGGACCCTTAGGAAGCCATCAGGGAAGGGTGAATATGGAGCCTGCAGAATTGGTAATTGTGAGAAGGGGTGAAATGGTTGTGGTTGCTGAGACTTTTTTTTTTTTAAGTTCTTTTTATTCATGTTGAGAGAGAGGGAGAGAGAGAATCCCAAGCAGGCTCCACACTGTCTGTGCAGAGCCCAGCTTGGGGCTGGATCCCTAGAAACACGAGACTATGACCTGAGTCGAAAAAAAAAGTAGGACCCTCAACTGGCTGAGCCACCTAGGCACCCCTGTTGGGACTCTGAAAAAGTAAAATTGAGGGGCGCCTGGGTGGCTCAGTCAGCAAAGTGTCCGACTTCAGCTCAGGTCATGATCTTGCTGTTTGTGAGTTAGAGCCCTGGGTTGGGCTCTGTGCTGACAGCTCGGAGCCTGAAGCCTGCTTCGGATTCTGTGTCTCCCTCTCTCTCTACCCCTCCCCGACTCATGCTCTGTCTTTATCTCTCAAAAAAACTCCAAAACATTAAAAAAATAATAAAAAGTAAAACTGAAAGGGGGGAATTATTGCTTAATAGTAAAGAGTCCTTGGGGGCTAATAAAAACTTTTGAGTATAGTGGAGATGGTCACACCACTGAATATATTTAACGCCACTGACTTATACACTTATAAATGGTTAAAATGATAAATATTATATGTATTTTAACACACACACACACACACACAACTGAAGACCATACTACTTCTACATTTTCACTTTGGGGTCCAATAAAAAAAATTTATTTTACAGTTTATTTTTGAGACAGATAAGAGACAGTGTGAGTGGGGGAGGGACAGAGAAAGAGAGAGAGAGAGAGAGAGAGAGAGAGGGAGAGAGAATCCCAAGCAGGCTATATGCCGCCAGCACAGAGCCTGATGCGAAGCTCAGACTCACCGAACTGTGAGATCATGACCTGAGCCGAAACCAAGAATTGGATGCCTAATGGACTGAGCCATCCAGGTGCCCCTTTAAAAAAAAAAAAAAGTTTATTTTTGATAGAGAGCGCACATGTGCTGTTTTCTCTCCAAATAAATAAATAAAAACATAGATTTGGCTTAAAAAAGAAATTTTTAAAAAATCTTAAACAATCATAGCAGAGTGATAGAAGAAAGAAAACCAGGGGCACCTGGGTGGCTCCGTGGATTAAGCGTCTGACTCTTGATTTCAGCTCAGGTCATGATCTCACGGGTCCATGAGTTCAAGCCCCGCACGGGGCGGACTCTGCGTTGACAATGCGGGGCCTGTTTGGGATTCCCTCCCTCCCTCTCTCTCTCTGCCCCTACCCTTCTCGTGCATGCTTTCTCTCTGTCTCTCTCTGTCTTTCTCTCTAAAAATAAATAAGGTTTAAAAAAAAATGAGAAGAAATAAATAAGAAATAAAACTAGCAGAAAGTTGATGGTTATCAAGGAGGCCGGGTGATGGGCATAGGGGTTCATTGCACTATTCCCTCAACTTTTGTGTGTGAAACTTCCCTTCCTTGCGACGGGAAGGCATGAGGAAAAGAGCCCGTGGAAGAGGCAGAACTGGGTCAGGAATCCAATTCCGGCAGCTTTCAGACTGGGAAGGTTCCAGGGCCCGGGTCTGGATCTTCACCTGTAGGCTCTCCCTGGCTGGGCTCCCCACCCCCCACACCCCAGGCCTGCAGTTTAGCCTGTTCCTTTCTCCCTGCCCGCACCCCCTCCCCACATCAGCTTCACCGGAAGTGAGGCCCAGCACAGGCCCCCCCCTCCCCGCCCTCCACATCTGGTGTACTGATGTCAGCAGCCAGGGCAGGCGGGGGCCGTGGTTTTTAGCTCCCGCCCAGCCTCAAGGGAGGGGCGGACCCCCCATCCCCACCCCTTACTCACAATGACAGACACTGTCACAGGGACACCAGGCCCTGACATGGGCCAGACATCAACTTTTATTGCAAAACGGGGACCGTCAAGTCACAAGGACGTCAGAACTGGCCTCTTCCCTGACACTGGGAGTTGGCATCTGGCCCCGACTGGGCAGCCCCTTTCACCGGCTCCCTTTCACCACTGGGAGGTGGGGAGGGGAGGGGGGTCAGAGTGTAAGTGCGGGGGGACGGGCAGGGGAGGCTTTTAACATGGTTACATAAACAAGAGGGTGGGGGCGCTTCTCTGATCGGAGGGTCCTGTGTGTCCAAGTTTACTTGGGTCCCAGGTCCCTGTGCACAATTGCACACTGAGGGTATATTTATATTTGGGAGCATTCGAGGATCGAGGTGCTTGGAAAGGGGAATCCTTGAGGGCCGAGGGCCTGGAGGATGCCACAGCAGTGACCCCTAGGAATGGTGTGTCTCCGTGGCAAGATACGTGGAAATGGGCTGGTGTCATGTGTGGGCTGGCTGTATGGTTCAGTGGTGAGGGGCACGCGGACGGCAGTGGTCATATGGCTGGACTGTAGTGTGGCTGCAAGAGAGAGGGCATGCTGGGGCTGAAGACAGGGCCGGTCTCTCTGTGTGGGGACACGACCCAGGAAGGGGCATGTTCCCCTCTGCACCAGGCTCCCAGAACTGGTAGCACTGGTAAGTTGGGCGGGCGAAGAGGGCTTGTGGGCCCTGAACGCAGTGGCTGTCTCCGTGGCCTGTGAAGATAGGAGCCAAGCTCCCACACATGGGCTGTGCATCAAGCTGTGTTGTGTACGACGTGGTGTGTTACCTGGGCACGTGGTCGTGATTCCAGACGACCTAAATCTGGGACCACAGAGAATCTGCATGGCTGAATGCCTCGTGGCCCTTTACGTGGCTGCCTAAAGCATGCGGTTGCATGTCTCAGCAGCTGCGTGGGCTGAGTGAGCGTGCGGCCGACTCTAGAAAACAGCTCCTGGTGTGTGGATGTGGCTGCATGGGGTGTGGACCTGTGGCTCTGGAGACACACGTTCATGCCCACCCCCACGAGGAGGCCACCACCGCCCACGGCTCCCTCCGTCAGCCGGGCCCCCAGGGTGGGTGGAGGTCAGTGGGGCCGGACTTGTAGCTGGAAGGCCGGGGGGATGTTGAAAAGGCCGCTGACGGCTGGCTGCAGGCTCGGGGCCCCCGGCGGGCACGGGCTCCCCAGGGAGAAGGCCTGCAGGATGGCCGTGAGGAGGAGGAAGAGCTCTGCCCGAGCCAGGCCCTCTCCGAGGCAGACGCGCTTCCCTGCGGGGGACAGGGAGACGGAGCTGGGCCAGGCCCCCTCACCCCCTCCCGTGCAGACGTGGGGAGGACCGGCAGGGGAGCAGGGGACAGGCCCGGCAAGTACCTAAGGAGAAGGGCAAGAATGCCTCCTGCTTCTGGAACCGTCCGTCCGCATCTAGGAATCGGTCCGGATTGAATTCCTCTGGCTTCTCGAAGACCTCAGGATCATGCAGGACAGAACCGAGGAGCGGGAAGACCTCGGTGCCCTGGGCAGGGGTGAATAAGAATAAAATTACAACTATCCCTCCACACCCAGGCGCGAGGGCAGAGCACAAGACGCCAGTTCACAAAACACAATGGTGTCAACATGTTTCAAGGGCTTGTTACAGGTCAGGTACTTCATTAAGCATTTAACAAAATTATTTTTAATGTTTACTTATTTTTGAGAGAGAGACTCAGAGTGCAAGTGTGGGAAGGACAGAGAGAGAGGGAGACACAGAATCGGAAGCAGGCTCCAGGCTCTGAGCTGTTAGCACAGAGCCCGACATGGGGCTCGAACCCACTGACCACGAGATCATAGCCTGAGTTGAAGTGGGACCCTTAACCGGCTGGGCCACCCCAGCACCCCCATTCAGCAGTTTTGATACATTCTCTCTTATGTAATAACAGAGATTATTATGTTATGTATGTGTGTCTCGCTTGCTCTCATATCCACAAACATACACTTGAACCCATGAAATCTTTCAGCTAGGAAGTCATTTCTGACATGACTCCCACTTTCAAGGTGGGAAAACAGAGGCCCACAGAACTTAAGCAACTCGCCCAAGGTAGCATTTGGTGACAGCAGAGTCTGTTATTTTTAAAGTTTGTTTTTTAAATTTGAGGGTATATGTTGTGATTCATCTGGGGCTGTCCTAAGCCACCTGGCCGGACTCCAGCTCCTTCCCACAGTGCTCTTCCAGAGGTGAAACTGAGGCTGGGTAGGTGAGGGCAGTCTGTGAGGGCTCCCCAGCCCAGGCCCGCTCCCACTTCACCCCTGAGATCAGTTACAGTGTTCCCAACATTGTGCAGTAGAGGGGAGCTCCAAAAAAACAGACAGGCTCATGCTATGGCTATTAAAATAAGAGAAGCAGGGGGCGCCTGGGTGGCTTAGTCCGTTAAACGTCTGACTTTCGCTTGGGTCATGATCTCGCGGTTCGTGGGTTCGAGCCCCGCGTCGGGCTCTGTGCTGACTGCCAGCTCAGAGCCTGTAGCCTGTTTCAGAGTCTGTGACTCCCTCTCTCTCTGACCCTCCCCTGCTCATGCTGTCTCTCTCTCTCTCTCTCTCCTAGAAATAAATTTAAAAAAAAACACACATTTAAAATAAAATAAGAGAAGCAGGTAAGCACGGTTAGAGCATAGACCCTGGGTGTAAATCCTTCCTCTATCATTGGGGGCTGGGTGATCCCAGCTAGTCTTCTCATCTTTAACAGCCACAGCTCCCTCATCTGTGAAATGGGCACAATAATAGTTGTAGGGTTGCTCTGAAGGCTGAAGATGAAGTAAGGTAGTATATTTGTGAAGCGTTTAGAACAACACCTGGAGACAGCACGTCCTCAATCACTGATGCCTATTGTTACATAACCATTATCAAGAGTTGCGACAGTCACTGCATTAGCAATGGGTGCTGCGGCCCCGAACGGGGAACCCCTGGGGAATCCCCTGCTCCCTGTACTAAGAGCTGAGTTGGTGTTTTGCAAGCATTATCTTGCAGGTCCCTTAAGATCTCAAATTAATACTATTTTGTTCCTACTGTAGAAGAGGGGTGGAGGGGGGTTCAGAGGGTGAAGTGATTTGTCCAAGGTCCCAGACAGAAAACAGATCATAACTGCTGTGGGTTTGATTCTCAGAGGAGGGAGCAGCCCGCGGGCCGGCACCTGGGGTTCCTGGGCAGACATCGCCCCCTGGTGGTGGTGGCTCTGAGTTGCTCTCTAATGGAGGGCAGGAGCGTGGCGGGGCGTGGGGAAGAAGGGAGGGAGGGGAGAGACCCTTTTGATTGTGGGAGGCTAGCACAGGGCTGAGTTCCCAAATTGCTCCCCTGTCTGTCACCTCTGGCATGTGATTGTCCCAACCACCCTGGATGGAGGCAGAATTAGGATATCTGTTGGACAGACAGGGAAACTGAGGCCCAGAGACAAAGTCAAAGGCGAGAGAAATGCACCCGGAAAGAAACAAAGAGGGAGAGAGAGGAGGAGAGAGGGACGTGGAGAAAGAGGGGAGGTCAGAGAGAGACCAAGAACCAGAAAAAGTCAGAGACACAGCAACAGACTCAGGCCCGAGGCAGAGAGGGCCACCGGGTGTGGCTGACGCAGGCCCACCTGGGGAAGGGTGTACCCTCGGAAGCAGGTGGTCCTGGTGAGGGCGTGGGGCACCCCCATGGGCACCAGAGCCAGCAGCCGCTGCGCCTCGTGCAAAACCGCGTCCGTGTAGGGGAGGTGGGCTCGGTCCCTCAGGCCTGGCACCCGGCCGGCCCCCAGCTCCCGGGTCAGCTCCTCCCGAACACGCTCTGCACCCAGGAAGAGGAGGGCTGGAGGTCAGAGGTGGGGAGGGGCCCTGCGAGCCTACTCTGGGAAGCCCCATCTTCTCAAAGTGGCAGTGGTTGCCCCCACCTGTGTGCTGACCACAGCGTCTCTGCTCTCTCTTAATTCCCACAGCAATCCTGTGAGGTGGGTGCCATTATCCATCCCCATTTCCTAGATGAGAAAACTGAGGCCCAGATTGCTAAAGTCACCGCAGTCTCTATTCCGCTGAGACCACCAGACCCTAAGCCCCATCTTCCAGGTCAGCCCACCCCAGCTCCATCTGATGCAGCCACCTGACCCCAGAATGCCGGGCTTTCCTGGAGTTCACACCCCCAGCTCTGCCTCTCAGCCAGGTACCCTTTGCTTCCTGCCTGTGCCCTAATGACCTCAGTTTTTGTTTTAAGTAATTTTACACCCAACATGGGGCTCGAACTCAAGACCCTGAGGTCAAGACCTGAGCTGAGATCAAGAGTTGGATGTTTAACCGACTAAGCCACCCAGGCACCCCCTCCCTCCCCGTTTTTAAGTGAACTCTTTGCCCAACATGCTCCTTGAACTTAGGACTCCGACCAAGATCAAGGATCCCGTTTATTTATCTCAAGTCCTGACCCAGATGTCTTGGGCCTCCTGGATGCCACTCCCCAGGTGGCCCCAGGTCCCTTACACTTGTCCCACATTGGCCTCAGCATCTCCCCTGAAACAGCTCCTCATTCCTTCTGTCCCCATCTCAGGGTGCCCCCAATGGTCCAGCAGTCCCCTGGGCCTCCTGGGTCATTCTCTACCTGCCCACCCAGCCCCTCTTCTCTCCCTGCAGCTTGGCCCAGGCCCCCATCCCATCCTCTTCCCTGGGCTCCTGGCATCTTCTTTCACCCAGAAGGATCTTTCTAAAATGCTAATTGGACCCTGCCCTCCCCCGTTCAGCATCCTTCCATGGCTCCCCATTGCTCAGGATCAGGAATACAGGTACCACCAAGAGAACAAGGCCCTGAGAGGTCCCCTGACTCATCTGTCACTTCATTACGCTTCCCACTGCAACCTGCGGCAGCCCTTCCGTCCGCCCCCTTCCACCAAGGCTGGTCAGACACCCCGATGCCGGTTCATTCTGGCCTCCAGCCGGCCGTGTGTTCTCCTGAACATTCTTCCTCTTGAGCCCTCACTTCCGTTCCCTGGGCCCGCTGGCGCAAAGGGCTCCTACCTTGGACCTGAGGGTATTTCAACAGAAGCAAGAGGGTGTAGCGGACCGTGGTGCTGACCGTGACCGTCCCGGTGAACAGCAGATAAATGACTGTCATCAGCAAGTTCTTGTCAGTCCATTCTGTGTTAGGGTTTTGCTCCTCCTGGAAGAAACCAGGCAGAGGGGCTCAGAGAACTCAGGCTGCGGGGAGTAGACGCCCAGCGCAGCCACGCCTGGGGCTGCAACACAGCAAAAGCTTTGTCGGGTGGGGGGTTGTATAAATGTTTGGGCAAGTTGGGAAGTGGACTCTTGATATGGGTTCTCTTTGGTTGAAATGTTTTTGAAAATGAAAGAGCATGGCCACTCTAAAAAACAAACAAACAGAAAACGGCGCGTGGCAGGGATGTGGAGAGACTGGAATGCTTTCACCCTCAGTGGGAATGGTGGCCGGTACAGCTGCTGTGGCGAATGGTATGAGGTTCCTTAAACAATTAAACTAGAAGGGTCGCCTGGGTGGCTCAGTCGATTGGGCGTCCAACTTCGGCTGAGGTCATGATTTCAAGGCTCGTAAGTCCGAGCTCCGAGTCAGACTCTGTGCTGACAGCTCAGAGCCTGGAGTCTGCTTCAGTTCTGTCTCTCCCTCTCTCTCTCTACCCTTCCCCCTCTTGTGCCCCACCCCCCAAATAAATAAACATTAGAAAAAATTTTTAATTAAAATAGAATTACTGGGGGCGCCTGGGTGGCTTAGTCGGTTAAGCGTCCGACTTTCGCTTAGGTCATGATCTTGCGGTTCGTGGGTTCAAGCCCCGCGTCGGGCTCTGTGCTGACTGCCAGCTCAGAGCCTGGAGCCTGTTTCGGTCTGTGACTCCCTCTCTCTCTGACCCTCCCCTGCTCACGCTGTCTCTCTCTCTCTCTCTCCTAGAAATAAATAAAAAACATTAAAAAAAAATAAAAAAAATAGAGTTACTGTATGACCTAGCGATTCCATTTCTGGGCAGGGAAGCCAACAAATGGAAAGCAAGACCTTGAAGAGGTATTTGTTCATAGCAACGTTATTCACAAAAGTGTCCACTGATGGATGAATGGATAAGCCCACTGTGGTCTATCCATGCGGTGGAGTAAGGACTCAGCCTTAAAAAGGAAGGAAATACTGTCACAGGCTACGACATGGATTAACCTTGAGAACATCACGGGAAGTGAAATAAACCAGTCACGAAAGGACAAATACTGGAGGATTCTATGTATACGAGGTCCCTGGAGTAGGCAAACTCACAGAGACAGAACGTTGAAAGGTGGTTGTCAGGGGCT